ACGTGCCTACAAGACTGCTGGACCCGATCCGACCCTCCATGAGCTTCTAATACTCATGATATTAGAGAGCTAACTTCTACAATTGATCTACACAAATGTTATTTGAAATAATGGAGGGTTTATTTCTGGAGATCCGATATGGTGGTTGCCAACCATTATCTGAGAGATATCACCACCGAGGACGTCTGAGGTATCCACCAATTCGGTCCCATGGTCCTCGCACAACAGTTGACAGTTCCTCGGAGAAGATAAGTCAATCTTACAGATTTCTACTTATCTTATAACAGTACTAAATAGCTACATGCTATATATAATTTGCTTAAGTTCTTTTTTATCATCACAGTACTATGATTATTACATCATACAATATATAAGTTAACAACTCTACAGAGTTTGTTATTATATATTTACCTTAAGTTAATCATATCTTAAAGTAGTACTATGGTTACATTATAAATGCATTAGCTAACAAACTCTACAGAGTTTTTGGCTATTATATACGTAGCTTAAGTTAATTATATCTTAAGCATAGTACTATACTCATATTGTAAAAATATATTAGCTTACAAACTCTACGGAGTTTTTGCTATTATATAGGTAGCTTAAGCTTATTCATATCTTAAGCTCAGTACTATGTTTATATCATATAAGTATATTAGCTAACAAACTCTAAAGAGTTTTTTGCTATTTGGCTTAAGTTTCATCATATCTTAAGCATTATGGTTACATTATAACATGTATTAGCTAACAAACTCTACAGAGTTTTTGCTATTATATATGTAGCTTAAGGTTTCCTTCATATCTTAAGCTCAATACTATGTTTATATCATATAAGTATATTAGCTAACAAAACTCTAAAAGGTTTTTTGCTATTATATATTTAGCTTAAGGTTTTCCTTCATATCTTAAGCTCAATACTAGGTTTATATCATATAAGTATTTTAGCTAACAAACTCTAAAGGGTTTTTTGCTATTATATAATTAGCTTAAGTTTCATCATATCTTAAGCAGTATGGTTACATTATAAAATGTATTAGCTAACAAACTCTCACGGAGTTTTGCTATTATATATATAGCTTAAGTTTAATCATATCTTAAGCTCAGTACTATGTTTATAACATAAAAGTATATTAGTTAATAAACTCTAAGGAGTTTTTTGCTATATACATTTAGCTTAAGTCTAATCATATCTTAAGCTTAGTACTATGGTTACATTATAAATCTATTAGCTAATAAACTCTACAGAGTTCTTGACTATTGTATATGTAGCTTAAGTTACTTATATCTTAAGCACAGTACTATACTCATATTGTAAAAATATATTAGCTAACAAACTCTACAGAGTTTTGCTATTATATATGTAGCTAAAGCTCAGCACTATGTCTATATCATATAAGTATATTAGCTAACAAACTCTAAAGAGTTTTGCTATTATATAATTAGCTTAAGTTTAATCATATCTTAAGCTTAGTACTATGTTTATATCTTAAAGTATTTAGCTAACAAACTCTAAGGAGTTTATACTAGCATATTAACAAGCTTAAGTCTATTAGTCTTAAGCATTGTATTAATGTTATATATACTTTATCATAATAAGTACATTGTAATAACCTTTATATGGCAGCTGATAAGTTAGCAGCAGGAATTCATCAGTTCAGTGCCTTTATGAAGTTCCCATAGGGTTATTACAATCAGCACAGTTCAAATCACTAATTATTAAAATCCAAAGTATTATATATTCCCACCTTCTTTTCCATTAGGATTCTACAAGCAAAAGAGCATGAGTCAGGATAAGGAAAAATATGTAATTTTTTAGAGTAAAATTGATATTTTATACTTATCCTGACTCATGAGGTAAGCCCTCCCATCCTCCCCACATAACACTTTGGATTTCCCTGTAAATTCAAATGTTGGGCTCAGTATATGAGGAGAGAGTGAGGCACATGGGTGGAGGTGGCGCCCTCGTTCCCGAGCTTGTGGAAGGGAGGTAACTCGTGGTGAGTACTAATTAGTGATTTTACATTGAAGGGAGCTTCAATTAGGGAGATACAAGTGTTCCACTATGTTCGCAAGAAGAAGAAGACAAGCAAAAAGAGCATGAGTCAGGATAAGTATAAAATATCAATTTTACTCTAAAAATTACATTTTCATATACATTTTGCACACACAACTAGTACATCAAACATAATGGTTTGGTGTACATGTAAATATAATCTGCACCTTCAGATGAATGAATATCCAAATTAAAGTACATGTATTATAGAATAAAAGTGACACGATACTGAATTATTATATTGTATAAACTTGCAGTTGAATCCCCCCAAAATATGTTTGAAGATAGGAGTGCCTATATTTATACTGAATGCAAACGAGGTTCATAAGATTACAGATGTGCATGTATGCATAAACATTACAGAGAGGGGCGTGACTCCATAAAGCAAGTTGTCCAATCATATAACAGAGCATCTGTTTATTATCCCCCACCTCGCGTTTATAGTATTAGGCTCCGTACGTACGAACAAATTGGAATATCTTAAGAACCGTTGTCTAGATTCTTTTCATAATTGGTACCTAGGTTCATCACACTATAAGAAAGGCCCAAGTCAGGTTTGGTGACCTTGACCTTCATTTCAAGGTCACAAGGGGACTTTAATGTTTTACCTGCATGTTAAGCTATCTCAAGAACCGTTCACTGGATTTCCTTTATATTCAATACAAAGCTTTATCTAGGGAAGGCGCAGGGCCCAGTCGATTTCGGTGACCTTCACTTAATTTTCAAGGTCACAGAGACACTTTGAAGATTTCAGCATGTTAACCTGAATTGTCAGCAAGATATTTCAAAACCAGTTCACTGGATCTTCTTCAAAGACTTTCAAGACTTCCCTTAAATGTTTTTCAAAAAGCAATTTCTTTAGCACTATTTTTGCATATTTCATACACTATGACATTCATGTCAAAGTCAGTCTTGAAAATATGTGTGTTTGAACACCTAAAGAGCAAGACATCAAGAGAGGTTGACTGGTCATGTTTTTGTTGACATTTAACTTCATCTTAAACTACGACCTTCACTTTCATTACCCTTTAAGTTTGATTTCATAATTTGCGGCTGGGGATTATGTCACCGTAGTGACAACTGCTTGTTGATGATGGATCAATGGAGACTGAGTTCATTGATACACGTGATAATTATACCGGATCAGATAATTACAAAGATCAAATACAAACGTTTTTACACAATAGTCATGCAAATTGCATAGAAAACTGACAATTCAAATCAACGTGAAACTTTCAACAGCTTGAACACAAATGCTTGAAATACCTTTGTATTGTTTACATGTAATAACTTATGATATAACTTCTGTCTATGTCTAAGAATTTTTGAATTACCAACTGTATTTTGTAACAAACGTAGTAAAAGATTTCAGTGCTGTAGTACCACTGACATGTATATTATTATGTGTCGATGCAAAGGGGAGAGTTATCACTTGATATTCGATTAGGTAACATTATCAACTTTAGATTATGAAAAATAAATAGTTACAATGCAGTAAGCTTTAAATTAGCAACTTAATTTATGTCTAATCTGTTCGAGCTTGGATGTATAATTATTTGTGATTACGATTCTTTATATGTAACATGACAACGTAATAATACCTAAAAAGCAAATTCAAACTTTTCTGTTATGTTTGAATTCTTTGTATGTAATTGAAATTTTGTACATTGTTTCGTATTTGATAGGTAGTTGAAGAATATATTGTCTTCAGTAACCTCTAAACCATTACATCTAATTCAGTCAATGTGCATAAAGAGTATTTTAGTATCCACTCCCAATGATGAGTGCCAGACACTTAACTCTGTAAAAACATCTCATAATCCCCTTTCTCACTGACATGTGTTCATTTACCAAACGCTGTATAAGCCTATTATAATTATTAGCAATTGCTATCAAAACACTTTAAATACTTCTTCTGATTAACACTGAAGGTAGCATCTCTCGCAAGAAAAGCTAACCTTTGCTCCGAACTACTAAATTGGTTGAAATAATAGGTACAATGCGATTTTAAAAAGTAAGACGCACATGTGCGTCTCTCGCTGAATAAGAGGTGCTTTCTATTGACGCACATATGAGTCACTGTGGGGAGCAACTTAATTTGTCGCATCTCTCAGCCATACTTAAATGCATCTCTCAGCCTAATTGAGTGAACAAACAATCATTATTTTGTTGTCACTTTTCGCTATTTGTTACGAGGGGGACCACTTGCTGGTAGGACAGCCAGGTAATCAACAAGCGTGTGTAGTGAAATTTCAATTTCACACATGCAACTCGCACACCTAACTGTTCTACCAGCAAGTGGTCCCCCCTCGTAAGAGATAGCAACAAGTGACAACAAAATAATGATCATTTGTTAAACAACATTTTTAATCGGGTGTCCAAAATTATGAAATAATCATCAGAGTTGGTCTGTCGATTTCATGGGACTTTGCTAAATTTGGTTTTGTTGCATTTATTAGATTTTGTGTTAGTGAGCAATTCATCCGTCTAAAATTAAATCAAACGGAATATAGCAGAAGCCTAAAAAAATTCATTTGACAACTGACATTTTTCTTCCAATCTTACCACTTCCTGCTGTTTACTGTTGTGTGTACAATGTTGGATAACTGGATATAACAACTAGTAAAACTTGGTTATGGTTTTTGAATTTGTAATTTATGTGCCATAGCCAAGTGTCATACAGAACACTTTTCAAGTAGCAGAAATGAAAGTTACTGACTGAGTAGGAGATTTTGTTTTCAACTGTCATGGACATGCTACATCAGGTTCAATTTTGCATCTTTTGAGTTGAATAACTTTGTTTCTGAGCAGTTACCCCATGTGTTTTTTTTGTCCTCTCCTCTATTCTCTCTTTGGCCCCATAAATCTGTAGTATAAACAATTTTGTATTGTTTTGGGCTTCGGTATGCTTCAAATTATTTCCAATGAAGTATCTACTATCTTTCAGTTGAAAATCTGGAACACAATGACTTCATAGCATTGAGAAATATGCTCATAAGGTAAGTCACTCATGATTCAAATTTCATTAATTTTTTTATTCATTCATGACTTAATACCTCTTTAATGTTTAATGTCAAGGTCTCATTTTGTGGGCCATTCACAATTACCTGTAAAAGGTTGCATTCAAGAAGTATTGTTGAAATGAACACGTCATATATCTCAGCCTCACACCTTTGTTTGAAACAAGTGATGTTCTCTTGGCAGTTCTATCCTGAAATAGAGGGTCATGGTAATGAAACTGCTTATTACTTAAATATTCAGGCATTCAGAATGAGTTTCTGGTCTAAAGATGTTCTGCAATGGGCATGTGTTTTCCTACCACTAAGTGATATTATAAACCTGGAAGCACTTACAAAATCTTTATTAGTTAGCTGGAGCTCTTTCAAAGTTGTACTGTATTGGGCACATGAGTTTACAAACAGAAGAGATGTTATTACAAAAGAAGTGCTTATAACATTGTTGGTAAGATAACTAGAGGCATATTACTTGTAATTTTAAATTGAATATTCATTAAGTCAAATAAGATTTCTATAATTTTTCCTTATCCTGGCTCATATTATTTGCTTCTCTCCCTTTTCTGCCCGAGGTACAGTGGAAACCTCTGTTTCTATGTTCCCAAGAACAGTAAAAACATCTCACCGAACACACCTCCTCCCGCTCATGTGCATCAGCGCCCCCATGACCATGCGGCAACTGGTCACTCTGTCCATTATTGCCCAAAAGGACGGTTGAGAGGAAAATTTCTTCTGTTTAACAATCCAAGCTAATCCTATTTTATAATGAGTCATCCATCAGAATTAATGCTTGGATTTCTTCATGTATCCTTTGTACATCATAACCATGGATAATTTTTCAAAAGTTGTAATTTTTCCTTATCCTGACTCATGCTCTTTTGCTTGTCTTCTTCTTCTTGCGAACATAGTGGAACACTTGTATCTCCTTATTTGAAGCTCCCTTCAAAATAAAATCACTAATTGGTACTCACCACGAGTTGCTCCCCTTTGTTTCCCCTGGCGGGAAAGGTGTCGCCACCCTCTGGCCATGTGCTTCACTCTCTCCTTCTTCGCCCAGTGAGCAGGATGTGAGAGCGCCTCGTGTCTCCTTACACACCATATCCTTTGATAATCTCTTAGTTTTTACCTCTCATAGGTTACTATAGACGTATAGCTAGTATCCTTTACTATTTGTATTGATTAATTGTCATTATTTCTACTGTTTATTCACGTGTATGCGTGATTGTTCAGCTAGCTTTACGTTGATGAAAATCTGTAACGATTTGTAGATTACGTTTTTTCTGCCTCCGATCCACATGTAATATGCCCTAGTTGTTCTTCTCGCCGTGTGCGTTTAATTCACGTTGCAGTTACTGCATTAATTTATCTCATTCTGCATTTAATAAATATCATCTTTTGCGTCTTAAGGCGTGCTGCAGATAGATCACGCATGAAACAAGGGCAAAACATGGCAGAGAGTCCAGATATTCCATCCAGTCAGCTGCTAGAGATCGACCCTCTCCGCCTGGTGTTCTGCTAGAGACCCCTTCAGTAGAGGAGCGTGGGGCGCAGTCCGTTACCTCGAAGAAGCGACCGGCCTCCCAGACATCCCGTCATTGCAGACCAAGTCTAAGAGGGCCTCATCGTCGTCTCAACGCAGATTGAGGACACCCAGGGCAGCGCAGACTTCCAAAGGGAAATCTACGAAGACAGCAAGAACTTTCTCAGCCGAGATCGCTCCAGCAGCAGAATTGGGCCTCACGATGATCAGCCGATAATCATCCCGACTTACGGCAGAAGAAGCGACCGGTGTCAGCGACTGTGACTTCTGCAGAGATCACCATGCAGCCTGATGCCTCTACACCGGCGTCAGGCGTCATTGATGTGAACCCCATCGCAGAAAAGGCGCCCGGCGACTTCGTCACAGATCATCCCAGAAGACATGATGCGGCAGATTATGAACATCATGGAGGACCACTACAAACTGCGCCAAGCAGGGTCCGAAGCAGCGAAGGCTCCAAACGACAGCACCCCAGAGGCACCCCCGTCAGCGTAGCAGCCAAGGCGATGTCACCTTGAAGGAAGTCCCGCACCACCTTGGACGAAGGACCTAGATGTACAGCCTTGGCGCCGCTGCCTTGAAGGCGGGAGAGATCATCACCATCTTCGATTTCATCTCTAGATATGGACTCAGACCATCAGACATCACGGAGGCCTTAGCGAAGGTCATATCATCGATCCCCGGACGGGCCTTAAAATGAAGCAGCGAAGGCATTCGCGAAGGACATATGATTCCAGATCCTCATCATCTAGAAGAACATCGAGGGACTGCCGAAGAGCCAGCGAAGCTATCAACATTCACCTCACAAGTCTCCGAAGATCATCCCATAAGGCGATCTCCACTTCGTTCATCACCAGGTCGATCACCCGTCAGATCTCCACATAGAAGCGGCACAAGTCAACTAGATCGCATACAAACCTCATCAGATATACAGACAGCTACACGCAGTCGAAGAGCATCTACAATTTGTTAATGATGATGGTTTTGAGGATGATGGAGGAATCATATTTTCTGATGCAGAGATCACGGTATTGGATGGTCAATAACCTAGATCTCACATCACCATCTAAAAGTGGCAATACAAAGCAAGGCGTATTTGATGAAGGAAGATGATCCAGATGCAATCACTCTACCCCGATCGACCCGATTGCGGCAGTGCCACAGAATCTAGATGCAGCTTTCCAGAAAGCTCACGAAGTTCAGACACCACATCTGCCCAACTTTCAAGCCAAGAAGTTCTCCACGCATAACATGGACTCCTTCTACAAGGCCCAGGACATCGATGAGAACTATAAGATCATCAGCGATGTAAAGAACAAGATTTACAAGATGGATGATCGCAAGTTGGCTCATATAGAAACCATGGACGAGACGTATGTTCTTTGGGTTAAATAGATCTAGGGACCGATCAATGAGACTCTTATTACTAGATTCGGGATTCCACGACGGAAGATGATAGAATGATTTATTCTGCCTTACTTATGCAAAAGAAAGATCAGCAGTTTTTAACGGATCACCTTACATCTGTTTCAGCAGCACTGACCTTAGCTCGTCGTCAAGGCCTCCTCGCCTCCTGTAATTGGGGGGAGAACTTTACAGCCCACTTTATACAGCCCGTGGTCGACAACATCCATCTTTGGCGGAGAAATCGACAAAGTCGCCAGGGAAGTCTCTAAGGATTCCAGGGAAGTCCTTATGATTAGATCGATGGACACACTAGCCAGCGTCATTCGTCAGACTTCACAAAGATACTCAGGCAGATCTAAGTTCACGGGCCTACAAAGAGCAAAGAGACAGGAAGATAGCCAGCTCTAGAGGTAAAGATTCTTTTAAATTAAGCCCATATGGCAACTATAGAGGAGGATCAGGAAGAGGCAGGACACCCAGAGGTTCCCGCAATTATAGACGCTGAAACACAGGTTCGAACGACTGGAGTCTTCCACCCCCAGCCGTTCCAGTACAGCCAGCTCAAGTGGGTGGGCCTCCAACTACACTGGGAAAACTGGGGAATATTGCAAGACCCTTACGTCTCCAACATTCTTCAACACGGATTTCATTATCCCTCTACAGGCCAAGCCTCGCTGACAATCAAACCCCCAAGTTCGATTTACAAAGCGCAACAACTACCAAAGATAAAGAGGCTGTTTCATCACTCCTATCCAAACAGGCCATAGAAGTAATAGATCAAGCAAGCGTCGAACCAGGTTTCTACTCCCCAGTTTTCCTAGTTCCCAAGAAAAACTCCACGGAGAAATACAGACTCATCTACAACATGAGCTTTTTCAACAAGAACTATCTACGCAAACCACCGAAGTTTAGCATGATACATTTACCTCAGTTACGCCAGATGATTAGGTCCTATGGACTACATGGGCAGCATAGATCTACAGGATGCCTACCTGCATCCCCATTCATCCCGATTCCAGGAAATACCTACGATTTACTCTAGAAGGGCTACATTACCAGTGGAAAGTACTCCCATTGAGGAATATCATCAGCCCCTGGCTATTCAATCGAGGATAACGAAAACCGATTATCATATTTCTACATCGTCAAGGGCTATGCAGAGTGCGTTTTACCTCGACGACGGGATACAAGTAGATCAAGATCCACTGCGTCTCAAACTACAGTTAAATTACATCATAAAGCTACTAACACAACTAGGTTGGTTAGTAAACTTACATAAGTCGGACCTAGTACCATCGCAAGACCTGCAGTTCCTAGGTATTGATTCATCACAAATCGCAACCGTTATTATGGTACCAGAAGACCGTTGGCTCAAGATACAGCAGACCATTCCACCAGCTCTACTCTCTCCGTTACCACTGCGACAATGGCAGAGCCTACTAGGTCTTCTCACATCAGCCCAAGACATGACTGTCACAGGCAGATTACAGTTACGTCCCCTACAGGTCCTCATCATCAACGACATCTCAACGATGTACAACCATTCAGTCTACACCGAAACATCTCAGACCGCATCTACTATGGTGGACCAAGAAATCGAATGTCTGCGAAGGATTTGTTTAACAGAGCAGGAATACAAAACCCATCTGTATGTAGATCGTAGCGTCACTCCAAGGTTGGGGGCTCATCTCACCAACCACCACGATATCAGGATTATGGAATCAGCAAGAATGCAAACTCCATATAAACAGTCTAGAAATGAAAGCTGTAATCAACGCTTTATTCTACATTGAGCACATTTCTACAAAATGCCACTAATGATCCATACAGACAATTTCGACAGTGGCGTTCTACATAAACAAGCAAGGCTCAACGAGATCGATGAACCTTTTGAACCTAAGCTTTTCAACTGTTCGATTTAATACAAGATCTAAATCTACATGTCAGAGCAGTGCACATTCCCGAGCCAGAAATATACTAGCAGACGCCTCTCTCGGCCTCATCTACCATCACCGACAGAGTGGATGATCAACAGGGA